CCCCTGCCGCTGCCGATCATCGTTTGTTTCCGGTCCGCATGGCGCCTGCCAATCGGCCCATCCTCAATGTAACGGCTGCGCCAAGCTCATGCTTGAGCACCATTTGCCTATCCGCCTGGAATTTCCCTCCCGAGAAGCCTCCAGGGCGGTTGACGCTGAGTCGGCAAGTGTGTGCCTTTGTTGACTGTGCAGGGTTGCGACCATTGCGTCATCACAAAAAAGCTGTGTATCTGGTGCGTTGCATGGCTTGGCTTTTGCTACCAGTGTAGGCCAGTCGTGCAGCAGCGGGGTGTGCATCTGAACGGCGAACCTGAACGTGCAAAGCAGGCAAGCGGCAGCGGCAAGCGGCAGCGGCAGGGCCAAGATCAATTTAGCTCACCGCCGAAGAAACCAACATGATAATTTGTTTTGTTTCAAGCGGCGCTGCGGTGGTGGAATGAACGCAGCACGGTTCAATAGTGGTCGATCAGGCTGTGATGGGGGCCTGGAATGGATGAGAGCTGCGGGAGGACAATTATGGAGACGGATGTCGTTCTGAAGAGCGGATGGCTCTACAAAAAGAGTGCGTCGGGCCCGCAGCCGTGGGGCGGCGCGCGCACGCCCGGTGTTGGTTGCGCTCGCGCGCGGCAGCGGCTGGGGTGCAGCCCTCGCGCCATCAGTTCCTGCTGACGCCCGGCGCCACGCAGGCGACTACAAGCGGGAGTGGCGGCGCCGCTTCTTTGTGGTTATTGGCGGGGACCTGCCGCGGGTTTGCTACTTTCGAGACTGGGGGGTGAGTAAGCACGCGTCAGGGCAACCGTGTCGGGACTGGCAGCCAAACGCGCCGCCAAGCCGTTGCTGCTGCTGCTTGCGACTGCTGCTGCCGCAGCCGCTGCCGCCGCCGCCGCCGCTGCACGCGCTCTCCGCCGGCGCCGGCCCGGGAGCGGCGGGCGCCTGGCCGGCCCCGCGGGCACGCCTCGGCGCCGCCTTGCCGGGCCGCCCTCCCCAGGGGTGCCGCCCTGCCCCTGCAGCTGCGTGCTGGAGCGCCCGGCGCCGTGGCCATGGCCGCGGGTGCGGCGGCGCCGACATGGGAGCAGCCGGGGAGCGGCGGTGTACTCCATGCGTCCCGCATGCATCACATTTTTCGAAAATACAATCCGCGCATGGCAGGTCGATGATCAGCCCGCGCAGGAGGCGCTGCTTGAGGGGGCCGGCATCCAGGTGCGCGCGCCCCATGCTGAGTCAGCAGGAAGGCGGGCCTGCGCCCGGCTGCCGAGCGGGTAGATGCCCACCAACCGCGGCGGCCTGCCGACAGGCCACGCCGCCGCGGCCGCGGCCGCCGCGCCGCGCCCGGTCCGCCCGTGCCCCCTGCTGTGGCGACTTGCCTAACGCATCGCCCCTTCCTCTCCCCTCCCCGCCCCTCCCCTCGGCCCCCCGCGCGCAGCAAGTCTCGCAGTCGGATGGCTTCTACCGCTTCACGCTGCAGCTGCCGGCGGCAGCCGCGCCCGGCGGCGCGGCGCCGCCGGCGTGGACCGTGGGAATGCACACGAATGACGAGAGGCGGGAGTGGCTGGAGGCGATCCTTAATGCCGGCCGGCCGGTGTGTGGGGGGGGGCGG